AGGGGAGCAGAAGGGTCTTCCATGCTGATGAGTGGCATGGTTCCTGCCTCAGAGGGATCAGGAAACTCTCTGGCTACGTTATCTACTGGCTGGAGAGGTTTTTGGTTTCCTGTAGCCGGCATTGGCTAGACTCCCTCCATCAGAAGGTTGATGACAACTTGATATTGTCACTTATCCTGGAAGACACAAAAAAAATACAAGGCCTATAAATTCAACTCCCAGAACCCGCACAGTGGAAGGAGAGAACTTATTCCCATAAATTGTCTTCTGACCTCCACATGCATACCATGGGACACACAACCAATACAAATCAATAAATATGAAAAATATTTTTTAAATAGAAGATCTCAGCAAGAGTTAGTAATGAATTCCCCTCCCCCATCCCCAGGAAGAGCCAGGAAGGTTGTGGCCTTGCTCTTAGGAGTGTGATCCTTGGGATGTTAGAAAACAGACAAACTGATGACTCTCTGTTGAAAATGTGACGAAACACACAAGGGCGATTTTGAAAAGGAATCCAGGGTGGGTAAGATCGAGAGGAAAATAGCTATTGGATGAAGTATGGCTTAAGATGAAGTGTGCTTGTCACCAGTGACAGATGTGCAGACAAAATTTTGGATTGTAGTTGTGGCTGTGATGGCCTGCCTAGTGTGTCTGGGGAAGCCTGTCAGGTCCAGTCATCATCTCTTTGTTTTCTTTTTTAGTTTTGGGGGTTTTTTAGACTTATTTATGTGTAGGAGTGTTTTGCCTGCATGTGTGTATACATGCATGCCTAGTGCCAGAAAAAGCCAGGAGAGGGAACTGAATGGTTGTGAACTGCCACCATGTTGATGCTGGGAATTGAACCCTGGTCCTCTTGAAGAGCAGCCAGTGCTCTTAACTGCTGAGCCATCTCTCCAGCCTCCACACAACCCTTTGTAAAGTCCTGTCTGAAACCATCTGTTTGCTCTGTTGTTACCAATCATTTTAGTCGTTGGCTGCATCTTTCCTTCTGGGTAATTAAGACCATGTAGGTGACAATAAACCAGCCATTTTCTTTTCTATAGTCAAAGCCAGTTGAGTCTCCTTAGGGTTACTCCAAGGGACGCGTAGGAGGAGTCCCTTGGGCCCTTCATTTCCCTCCACCAGTGAGCCATCCACTGAGATGGATTGTGTCTGCTGACCATGCAGTTTCCTTCAGAAGCATTGGGGACATTGCACTCCATGTTGACCCTCCTCTTTGTAGAATGTACAGTAATTAGAAGCCAGCCTTTGGGATATCCATTGCCTCGTTGATCAAAAGATTATGTAAGTGACTTTCTAGAGGTACAGGACACTTTTAGGGGTGCCCATTCTCCCCTGGGACCAAGCTGACCTGGAGCAAGGCCAAAATGGCTGCCTTGTCAGTCCTTATATTCTTCCTGTCTTAAACTGCCAAGTAAGATTATTGAACATCCAGAAGGCTGGTTACAGCGGTACCAGAGAACATAATGTGGCTTAAAATTCAGCTGTTGCGTAATTCTTAAAGCTTGGCAGAGACTGGTTTTTAAAATAAATCCCGACTCTGTTAAGATTCAGTTTCCCAGCTAGAAACTGAGTAGAATCTATAAGCAGTGTCATTTTTAAAGATTTTTTTTTTAAATTTCTGTATAGATATGTTCACCTATACTATTAAGTTTTAACTTTTATAGACTTGTTATGACATTAACTTTTTGGCTTTGTCTTAATCTCTATATTTTTATTTTGCAACAATGTTTTCCTTAGTATAAAAATCTCTATACAAACCCTCTTTCATCTAAAGTGTTTCCCTTTTTTCTCTAACTTTTTTATCAGAAATATTTTTGGTTTTCCAAGACAGGGTTTTTCTGTGTAGTTTTGGTGCCTGTCCTGGATCTCACTCTGTAGACCAGACTGGCCTCAAACTCACAGAGATCTGCCTGCCTCTGCCTCCCAAGTGCTGGGATTAAAGGCATGTGCCACCGCTGCCCGGCCCCAGAAATATATTTTTATATATTACTTTTTTCTTTTCTTTTTAAAATTTTTTCCAAAACGGTTTCTCTGTGTACAGCCTTGGCTGTCCTGGAAACTGCTCTGTAGACCAGGCTGGTCTTGAACTCACAGAGATCCACCTGCCTCTGCCTCCTGAGTGCTGGGATTAAAGGCAAGTGGCACTATCATCTGGTTTATATACATATAACTTTTTATGATGGCTCCTTATTGGTTTACAAAATAAAACATTTGATTCTGAATAAGACAACAGTTTTTGAGTGATAACACAAGAAGCCATATCTTAAACATAGGCCAAACATGTTAATAATTTAAAAGACTATTTTTTATCAACAAATTTCAAAATAATTAAAACTGTAAAGATTTAGGTCTTTAGGCAAATATCTAGCATCTGCTTTTCATTGAATTTGCTTTTTATTTGGTCTTACAGGGCATCCCAATCAGGATACTTATCTTGCATCTTTATCCTCATTTTATAGCTCTCCTTTATGCTTGATTACCATTGTAGGGGAGCATATTAATTACTCAAAGCTGAAAGTACAGACATCAGCTAGTGTCCAAATTTTCACATGATTTTGTTTTTCTCTTTGAGACAGGGTTTCTCTGTGTAGTCCCAGCTGTGCTGGGACTTGCTCTGTAGACCAGCCTAGGCTGGAATTCAGAGATCCGCCTGCCTCTGCCTCCCGAGTGCTGGGATTAAAGGCATGTGCCACCACCGCCTGGCTTTCTTCACATTACGAACTGAAAGGAATTTGGACTAACAAAACAGTTTTAGTTTATATGACTTACAAGTCACTTTGGCAACATGAAAACATTGTAAAAACACAAACACATTGACAGCATACATATGCAGAGTACAGAAGGATAGATTATCTTCAATTATCAAAGATTTTTGATAACTTCTATCAGTTTTTTGTTTGTTTGTTTTTGCTAGTTGTATTTGATTCTAAGTTTCTGGGCTATCCAGCCTCTGGGTCCTGGCCCTCCAGGCAGTGTCAAGGGTGAGCTCTCTCTTGGCATGGGTCTCAAGCTGGACCAGTCATTGGTTGACTATTCCCAAACTCTTATTAGCTTTAAGTTAAGCTGTTAGTCAGATCATTATTTTTTTCCATCACATTAAACAATCCTTTATCCAAATTCTGTCCTGTCAAAGTCACAACACTTAATAAAGTAGAAGACTTTCGATTCGGAGGTTACAGAGCCAGACCTGAGATGAATAAGACCTTAAACAGGCTGACCATGCACCAGCAGCTTGGGTCATAAGTCATTTTTTTTTTAATCTAAATTGGACAAGGTAAGAACCTTGTAAAACCTGATTTTTGAAGGAGGAGAACTCAGGTAGAATGATTAGGCAATAGTTTCTATATCTTAATGGTACATCTATGAGTTAAAATTTATTGGGTTGTATCACCTGCAATTTTTATTGTGAAAGACAGTTTAACAAAGATCCTTGAGAAACTTATAGACCCATCATTTTACTTATATCACAGCTTAATAAAAATCTTATATATATAATACATAGTAAGAATCTTCCTAAAAAAGAAATCCATAGCAGTTTATTTAATGAAAGGATTTTAATGCACACTAGTTAGTGATATTTAAATTAACACAAAGTATTTTTATTTACTATTATTGTTCTGTTACTTATGGATAAAATAGAAGTGAAATTTTAATTAATTTTAGAACTTATTTTGAAAAGGAATTCTTATCAAAATCTGTGTACCTAATATTAAGTTTCGTACTTTTTTGTTTGTTTGTTTGTTTTTTGTTTTTTGAAACAGGGTTTCTCTATGTAGCTCTGGGTATCCTGGAACTCACTTTGTAGACCAGGCTGGCCTAGAACTCTTAGAGATCCCCCTGTGTCTGCCTCCCGAGTGCTGGGATTAAAGATGTGTGACACCCCTGCCTGACTAAATATCATACTCTTAAGATTCTGATGCATACTGTTTTATATAAACAAGTAACATTTTAAGGTTTTATGAAACATTAATATATTAAATATAGCCAGGAGAGAACCTGTTTCAAAAACAAAAACAGCAAAAAAAGGAAAGAGTGCCTCGGTGCATAAACAGCACGGCTTTTTAATATGTCCCCCAAACACGTGCACTTACATGCACACACACATTTTAAGTAGGCATATGAATAAATAAAATAGAATCATTTCAGTGTACAGTAAAAATGAAAGGATGGAGTGGCCACAGGTTTTGCTGTTCAGTTGTTTTAGGGAATTCTAGAGCAGGCTGAGTTCCCCCATGCCGTCTCAACACAGAAAGACATAGGAACAGTTACATGGAAACATGAACACATGACACAATTATGTCGAGTTAAAAATTGCATCTCTATCTTTGGAGGGAACAAAATTAAGTCTTGGGGATCTGGAAGGCTGCCCTTCGCATTCTGTATGACAGTCTGTCTCACAAGGTACCTCTGGTCTTGGGAGTTGGTTGTGTCAGGCATTGGTCCCTTCTTTCAGATCTCGGCTGAACAAGAAACAGTATCAACAGCTGAGTCTGTGGAGCCTGTACGTCGTATATTATTTATAGTTCTTGTTGCTATTTCAACTAGTTATTGAAACATGGTTATTTCAACTAGTAAATCTCAGAAATAGTTTGGGGCAGTAAAAAGAAATGAGCAGTTGGCCTCAAATGAGGAAAAACCTTTATCTGTTTGGGAGGATGGCAGGAAAGCGAGAGCCTGGAGGATCATGGGAACAGAGAATTTCGGTCTTTGGAAGTCTCTGTAAGGCAAGAGAAAACCAAAATAGGAGACAGGCTTAGCATGGTCTATTAGGTGTCTGTGATGTTTGGGGTGGGGGGCTTCTTTTTAATTAAACACAGTTGTTATCTGAATGGCTCTCCTGTGGTCTTCCCGTATAAGCTCATAAGCTGAAATTAATGTCTGGGAGTTATTGGTGAATTGGGATAGATCCCCAGAGACCCCCTTCCTAGCTTCCCCTTGCATTGTTAATAGTCCATGGTTGAAAAATGGATATGGACTCTAATTGTCCACAGGAGTCCAGGCCCTTCCCTTCAAGAACTGCTGCAGGCGCAGGCGTGGACGGCTGGTAGGAGGTGCCACTCTTTGGGTGCCCCACAAGCTGGGTTCCCCCCTCCCCTCTTTCCCCCCATT